ATTACCATACATATAAACACTACATTACTCTGACTCTCTTGGCTTTAGACTCTGAGTGGACTGTGAATGTTTATTAGCTTTACGATGGATGCATGTTAAATAATTTTTTTGTCCCTTGCCACCGTCTGTATCAATAATAAAGCTTTAATTTTAACTGTAATTTTTTCTCTGATATAGATTATGGTGAAAAAAAAGAAAAACTGTAAACTAAAGATAACATGTTAGGAAATCTCTCATTAGAGACACCTAGTGGCTTTACAATAATATTTACAATTTATTACAATGACATTTTATTTGAGCAATTTATAAAAATTTTAAGTCACGGTATCAGTTCCGCATGAGTCGTCTGGTTGGATTTCCGGGAAGTGCTGGTGTAGCAAGGTCCTTGATGAGCTGGTTGGGGTTGGATTGAAGTTTTGCGTGGAAGCGTTTGTAATATAGAGTGGCTGTATCGTTGACAGAGCGTATTTTGAGATCAGGGTTTATAATGTTATTGGAGACATACCAATAAGGTGCACCTGTAATTAGACGACAGCAGATATTTTGGAAGACTTGGATGGTTCTCTTGTTTGATTTTTTGGCAGACCCCCATACTACCATCCCGTATGCCCAAAGTGGTTGTATGAGAGTTTTGTATAATAAAATTTTAATGTTTAATGTTAGATTTGAGCGCAGGAGTGACCTTACTTAGTGGGTGCAGTCTTGAATTCAACTTTTTGCGTTTATTCTTGAGGTGAGCTTACCATGTTAGTCGTCTGTCTTTTGGTAATTTAGCAATTTGGTATAAATATTGATAATATTTTATTCAAACTGATATTTTCAATGATTTAGACTAATATTAAGCTTTTTCCTATTCATACCTTATAATAACAAAATAGATTTCAATACAGTCTGACAGACCTCTTCTGCACAGAATCATATTTTTGTATGAAAAATTTAACAAACACAGATCAAAGTGATTTATTCGATGATGAGATACATTCGTCACTAACAATTGTACAGCAAGAGTTTGACTATACTTGCCTACTATTTCAAATTACATGTTGAGGATAAACGGCGGTGCATTAGATATTGTCCGGGCCACAATACTTTGGAAAACTTGAAATCTTTTAACTATATATGATTTTTGCAAAGCTCTAGCCCGTACGCTAAGAAAGGTTTAAAAAGAGTTATATAAATTGAAAGTTTTTTTTTGAATCTAATATATTAAAGTGATTTGTAATTAAACCATGCACACGCGCTGGTATTTATAATCTTTATTTCAGTTCGAAAGATTTGTTTTAAAAACGATTATACCGATAAACGATAAACTATTATATTGGTGCTTTTTTTTTTACTTTTCAGAACATCCTTGGTGTTAATGTTCCGTAACAAGTTGGTCAAATTTAAAATTAAAATAACATTACATTTCAAAAGATAAATTAATTAAAATAATTACAATATAACGAGTAGTATACTAATTATAGTGATTTTCAAAAAAAACATGTTGTGGCCGTTATAGTGCATGTCGTTGTTGTATTATTAATGTATGTATGTAAGTTATTATTAAAATACCTGTAAAACTATTATATAATACGGTAATAATAATCGAGAATTATTTTAAATTTAAAAAATAATAATAATAAATAATAATAGCATAATATGTACTTCTACGCAAATATTATATAATGTACCAGCTGAGTGATAAATATTTATCTATTTCCTATTTGATTTGATTAACTTTATTTACAAAATATGTCACGACATAAATTTAAAACCTACTTATACCAATATAAACCTCAATATCACAGCTAGTTTTTTTTTTGGGCACATAAAAGTATAAAAAAAAATCAGGTTTTCTACTTTTGATTTAATTATGCCACGTACCTATATTGTTTTATGTAATATTATGTAATATTGCGTGCTGTTCAACGGTCGGCGGTCACAACATAAATTATTTGAACTTGTCTGCAAAACGTATTCCCGGAATTCGGATAAAAAATTATTGAAAAAATAAATTCAAAGTGGTATTTAGAACAACTGTACAGTGTACGAACAAATTTAGATTCCCCGGTGTGGTTAAGTAGACCATTTAAAAACAAAGCGCGCCGACGAATGTCGTTGAAATGTTGTCTGGAGTAAAGGCAAGTATAAATCTTCAATGAAATAACGCAGCTATACTCGCAGTTTAATCACTACATTTCAGCCATATATTAAGTATATTAAAGTGTAATATATTTATATTGGCAAGGAACTGTAGCTTTTCGTTCCAATGATTTCAGACATTATGTCGTGTTATTTTGAACATTTTTAATATACCCACTCAATCGGAACCATGGCTAAAATCTTCTGTGTAGCGCTAGGATCTATAAATTAAAAATATAAGCGTTCCGAGTGGACAAGTTGTTCCTGAACTAACCCGTTAAGAAAATATTCACTTCACGTCTTATACATTAAAATACGTACCAATATATAAGATAATATTATGCATATGATATATATATATATATATATATATATGTATAACATAATGTATACACTATATATAGGTGCTCCGTGTCTCAATGAAAATTATTCACTAACCAGATTATCAGGATCGTATTTACCATTTTTTATTTTTTTTTAAGCAGGGTGTCTGGTGCACTGTGTTTGTTCTCGTACATACCAACAGGCCGCCTACTTTATAGTATAATATATTCTTCTGTAATACCCGTATCCTGATCTAACATTCTAACCTATACCTATGTATATGTATCATGCCATCAAGGTGTGAACTGTTGAGTACTTGAATGGTGAGATTAAACTAATAATTCAATTTTTAATATATTTAGTTGTCACACAAACATTGAACATTTCAATTCGACTGTAATCAGCTACTATAATATTATGATATTATATTTAAGTGACACGCAAACAACAACGAAACTTTTTTCGTTTTTTTGGTTAAAGTACAAACATATTATAAAACTGCTTAAAACTTAAATTGCATACGAACAATATTACGAATTAGTTAATGGACATTGGCTGACGGCGCAGAAACAAGTATTGTCAACTGGCGGGCAATAGGTTTGCATTAATTTACGTATTGTATATTACAGGCGTGAGTTTTTAATAAAAAAAAAATCACACACCACATTAATCATATTTTATTAGAATGATTAGGTATAAAGCTAGAGGTGGTATTTAGTATATCGAGATACCGACAATCGTCAAAATACGTGATGTAGGAATGCATAGCTAATTAAATTAGTTAGTAATACAGAAATTTAAGTTTTACATTTATAATATAATATATATTATACTCCATTGAAAAAGTGTTGAAATAAATTTGATTTTACCGATCCTGAATATCTTTAAGAGTTAAAAGTTAAAATTATATTTATAAAGAACGCTTTCACGTTGATAAAGTCTACCATGGCTAGTGTGCATTATAGTTACTTCTCGAGCGATTAATGCGGAGCCACTCATATTATATCCATATTATAAAATAGAGTCCCTAGTATATTTATTGGAAAAAAAATTACGACATTGCAAGTATAGGTTTAATTAATCTTTCTTTAGACGAATTCCTTTGGTCAATCGTCTAAATTTAGCAAACGATGAGAAGCTTTATGAAAAAAAAAAAAAACTGTTTGGGAAAGGAATTTTATGAAAAGTTCGAGTGTCATTCTTTTTTTAAGAAGAAACTATCACTGCACGAGATTTTTAGATAGTTGATGGCTTGGATCAAACAAAACACGGCCATCCGTTAAATTATTTGATTTGGATGGAAACCTCAATTTGAATTTGAAACCAGTTTTCTAAAATTAACAACAACAGGGCAATAACGTGGTTATTACCAAAAAATATACCTAGGTCATTGTACTCGACCACGCACAATACAATTATTTAGAGTTATACAATACTTACTATGTATTTAGTTTCGGTACTGGTTTGCATCGTCCCACTTATGTATGTGAAACTATTATCGACTCTGCGGCGGCGGGGGTGGGAGGCTTGGATGTTTTGTTTTCCTTCGGCCACCCACATAATCGATATCATATGCGGATCATACTCATAAACGGTTTGATTTACAAATCCATTAATTTACAAGACCTACCGTTTCCCAAACAAGTCGTAGAACACAGGAAATAACGTGGTCATAATTAAACGCCTTCGAGTAGGTCACACTCGCATCACACACGACATTTCTATTCATTACTAAATGAAACTATAATCACAAATAAAATATAAAATATAATTAGAACCTAATAACATAATTTTATCGGCTAACGACCTACCTAGTCGTTGACGCCAAAGATATTTTGCTACATGATATTATTTTAATCTGTTAAAAAAACACACACACATACACACGCACGCAGAAAAACAAATTCCTAGTATTATTTTGTTTATTTAACGTAGCCTACCTACTTATAAATAATATTACAACCTTGATAATCCTTAATTTATTTCAACCTCATGGTTTCAAAACGTCATATTGAA